GTCAGTCAAACCCCCCGATCCGGGCCGCTACTCAGGTCTATCCTCTTTGCACCCGACTCACATTTACCGACAATGCGACCGGGACGCCTCCTTTCCCGTGGGGTACCAACTAACATTTTTGGAGTCAGTCAAANGCACCCGACTCACATTTACCGACAATGCGACCGGGACGCCTCCTTTCCCGTGGGGTACCAACTAACATTTTTGGAGTCAGTCAAACCCCCCGATCCGCGCCTCTACACAGGTCTATCCTCTTTGCTATAATCTCTGTGCGGAAGCCTTTACTCACTGGAATCTGTTGTGTGTTTTTTTTGGAGTTTAAGGTCGGATGGAACGAGGTTATCCAGAGCCGCAAGGCAAGAAGAAGTTTTTGAAGTTTCATTGCGAGCGCACATCAACGTGCACAATAATTCTCTCCTTTTTTGCGTCTTGAATCGGAGTCCATCCTTTCATCAGTATTTCGAGACAAATTTGACTTTGCAAAGCTACTTCGACAATTTGAAAATTGGTAAGATGAGCTCAGGTTTTATTTCGGAGGCCGAATTGGCAGAGCAGAGGAAGACACGACAGGAGGAATGGAACAAAGTGAGAACAGCTGAACAGCCAGCTGGTAAAACACGATTTTCATTCATTTTCAATGAATTTTTCATTTTATATATCTTGACTGAATTCATTCTTACGTGCTTTCAGAGGTTTCGGAAGAGAAGTTGGATCGGTCGCTTTATGACAGACTTCAGGAGCAGAAAAACAAGAGGGATATGGAGTATGAAGAGGCACATAAACTAAGTAAGATCTAAAATGAAAATATTTCAATGTGACAAAGTAATGATACAAGGAGATACGTTACGAAATTTGTAGCAATTATTTTGCTAATGATCTCCAAAACGAGTGGTTCAGTGTTTGTTTTGTAATCTGTGGGATTCATTGCAAAAAACTGTTACAGAATTTTCTTAAAAGTCCACGGAGCCTTTCCATAACGGACAAATTAATTTCCAGTTATTTTTGTGCTCTATTTTTGTAGCCTATTATTTTTGTAGCATCAATAATATGGTGAACAGTTTGAAACTTCTTGAAAAATTCATTCTACACCATTTCCCCCTGTTGCAATCAACCTGGGCCCTTAATCAAGGGCTTGGGCCCTTAATCAAGGGCTTGGGCCCATTCTGCAAGCGCGGAAAAATTCCAAAAAATTAGGAGTGGTAATTTTTGTGATTTTTCGGCCCTTGCGAAGTGGGTCCAAGCCCTCAACTAAGGGCTCAGGTAGACTGCATAAGGGGGAAATTGGGTGGAATGATTTTGCCACTCCCAAAATACCACTCCTAATTTTTTGGATTTTTTCCGCCCTTGCGATATGGGCCCAAGCCCTTGATTAAGTGCCCAGGGCGATTGCAAGTAGGGGAAATGGTGTGGAATGACTTTTGCCATCCCCAAAATATCACTCCTAATTTTTGGGGATTCTTCCGCGTTTCCGAAGTGAGTCCAACCCCTTCATTAAGGGCCCAGATAGACTGCAACAGGGGGAAATTGTATGGAATGACTTTTGCCACCCCCAAAATATCACCCCTAATTTTTTGGGATTTTTCCGCCCTTGCAAAGTGGGCCCCAGCCCTCGACTAAGGGCCCAGATAGACTGCAACAGAGGAAAATTGTATGGAATGACTTTTGCCACCCCTAAAATACCACTCCTAAATTTGTTGAGATTTTTCCACCCTTGGGAAGTGGGCCCTAGCCCTCGACTAAGGGTCCAGATAGACTGCAACAGAGGAAAATTGTGTAGAATGATATTTGCCACCCCCAAAATACCACTCCTAATTTTTTGAGATTTTTCCGCCCTTGCGAAGGGGGTTGGGCCCTTGATTAAGTGCCCAGGGAGATCGCAACAGGGGGAAATGGTGTGGAAATACTTTTGTCACCCCCAAAATATCACTCCTAATTTTCTGGGATTTTTCCGCACTTGCGAAGTGGGCCCAAGCCGTTGGTTAAGGGCCCAGGGAGATTGCAACAGGTGGAAATGATGTGGAACGACTTTTTCCACCCCCAAAATATCACTCCTAATTTTTTTGGGCTTTTTCAGCGCTTGCGAAGTGGGCCCAAGCCCTTGATTAAGGTCCCAGGGAAATTGTGTGGAATGACTTTTGCCACCCCCAAAATACCACTCCTAATTTTTTGGCATTATTCCGTGCTTGCAGAATGGGCCCAAGCCCTTGATTAAGGGCCCAGGGAGATTGCAACAGGGGGAAATGGTGTGGAATGACTTTCACCATCCCCAAAATATCACTCCTAATTTTTTGGGATTTTTCCGCGCTTGCTTAAGGACCCAGATAGACCACAACAGAGGGAAATTGTGTGGAATGACTTTTGCCACCGCCAAAATACAACTCCTAATTTTTTGGCATTTTTCTGCCCTTACGAAGTAGGCCCAAGCGCTTGATTAAGGGCCCAGGGAGATTGCAACGGGAAAAATTGTGTGGAATAACTTTTGCCACCCCCAAAATACCACTCCTAATTTTTTAGGATTTTTCCGCCCTTGTAAAATATCCTCATCAATTCGAATTTCCGGTGTATTCGTTGGTAGTGGTACCGTGTGCTAACAGTCGGAGTGGTGACAGTACCATCTTGAACAAAAGTTTCTGCCCGGCAACCCACAATTCCCGCTGCCGACTCCCGCTAGTTTCAACATCATAGCAGGTGTCTATAACTTCTCAATGCTCTCCGAGATATGTGCATTTAAATTGATTAAAAAAAAAACTACAAATCAAAAGCCCAAGTTGTCTCTGATTATCATTTTTTTGTCATTCCGGCCGTATGGCCGTAGCCGTCATGACAAAATATCTATTCTTATCATTGGGCATGCTTTTCCATGGCAATTAATGGGTTATTCATCATTGACAAATTGTTAATAATAATTAGATGAATAAATAATCATGCGGGTTTTTGATGGGTTACAACCTACGTGTAACCTGTGAGGTAACTGCGTGACGTTTCCGCCCAATGAGCAAAATAAGGTTCCGGAAACGTTTTGAGAACGTCTCGAGATGATCTGAAAATGTAAGAAGGACGTTCCCAAAAACGTCCCCGAAACGTATTTTTTGGAAAATACAGGGTTTTTTTACGTTCAGGAAACGTTCGTCCGGAACGTTCGAAACGTTCACAGAACCTACCATGAACGTTGAAGAAATTACGGAATTTTCGGAATGTTTCACTTAGGTCTCGATGACGTTTCAATGATACTTAGCAAATGAAGTTGGAACGTTCTCGAGACGTTCGATCTTTTACGTCATTCATGGGACGTCTCACGGATGTGTCGCGAACATTTTCCTGAGACAACATATGTCTCATCGGAACGTTCAGCGAACGTTCAACGTAATCTATATGTAATGTTCACTTGAAACGTTCCTCACACATACTTCAATCGTGTAATGGACGTGCACCGGACCTCCTCCGGTACGTCATTGAAATTGAAATTGTAGGCTGGGCGTTTATTTTATTATTTTATTTATTCTGTAGTCTCCTTCGTAATTCACGAAAATCAAACATACATTTTTATGATACAATTTCTAAATAGTTTATTAATATAGAAATGCTATGAAATTGTTTACGTAAATATGAATTTCGTTTATAATCTACTTTTTTATACTATATACATGTGCGTACATTATATATACATATATAAACTATATAAATATCAAGAAACAGTTGAAAGCGCCTACAAACCGATTATTGAATGAAATTATGAACCAAATTTTTTCATGAGTATTTTCCATCAATATGTCCATAGATTTTCCGAACGAGAGTCAAAAACAGAAAACAGATGTGTATAGTATTACTTTAATCATAGTCTAAGTGTTACTAGCAATATTCGAGTATTAACATTGAATTTGAATCAATAAGAAATTATTATTCAATATAAGGTATCGAATTTGAGATACACATTTCAATGGATTACAATGAACTATATTGTAGAAAAAATTCTGGATTAAACCCTCTTTTGTGAATGGGCGTTTCCTCTTCTCCGCACTCCCTCAACGGGAAATACGGCGTCCTCACTCCGCCGGCGAAATCTTCATTTATCTGCTTATCCGACTCAGAGGGTTAATTGTCTCTTCAACACATTCGAGAATTTTTTCCAGCTCTTGTCGTTCCCGATTGCTGGTCGAAGGCGTTTGACTGCTGGAAAAGAAATATAAACATTAACTCAGAATGCACGAAAAGACTCATTACTATATAAATCTAAAATTCATTAATTTCTATCGCCTTCAATCTTTAATGACCCGTGACTGACAGAATCCCATTTTTTTTTTTTCATTTCTAGGGTATTTTTTCCAACTTTAGTGGAATAAGACTTGATTATTTGAAATCGTTTATTTCACTCGGGAGATATTGATTATGAAAGATCACGTTTTGCCCAACGCATTCAATGATTGAACCAATTCTTACCTTTGTTTTCTATGATGTATGAAGAGGATAGCTGATATACGCATTTGTTGTGAGCGGTAATACAACTGCCTTGCACTGGATCTCCCTCAAACGAGTTAATGTCAATCGATTTGAACACTTTTCAACTCGAAATATGCCCAATTTTGAGGATCTCAGTGGAGTGGAAAAGAAATCATAATATTTCTGGAATTTTCGTCCGACAATGAAGAAATCATCATCCGTTTCGACGAAATTGTCTATCAGCATAACTGTTGAATCCTTCAATACGACTGCATTGTTCCCTTCTTTATTAGTGATGATTGTACTTTTCCAACGAATTCGGCCATACTGAGTACCACTGAGTCCACAAGTCATCCCACGGTTATGACGAGCTGTGGCAATTGGTCCTTCCAATTTTTCATTTTCGTTGGTGTTTCCATTTTCCAATCGTTGTAAAGTTCGACGAATCAACTGCTGGAGCGGTTTGTTCCTCCCTCGTACGGAAAGTTTAATCGAACCTAATTCGTTCTCGAAAGGGAACGCTGAAAAAGTATCTGCTGGGCCATTCGCAGCTACATTCTTTGCGAGATGAATTAAATTATGAATATTATACGATACAAACTTCCGTCCGAATAATTGAATGCTTTTGAGGACGAACCGACGTAATAATCTTTCCGCTAATTTGTTCATCGTATGGCATAAATCCGGCTTTACGAGAATTGTGATTGCTACATGTAAAATCATGAAAAGCTCATAATGGTTTGCTGGTAAAAATTTCTTCAGTACAATTGGTCCCACATACAAGAGAAATTGTCGCGCTTCCGTCGCCTTCCAGCGATCTGATTCAGTTATAATCCGTGGCTTCCTATTAAAATCATTTGGCCAAAATTTCCCAATATTTTTCAATTTTTCGTCAATCAACTTCAAAATACTACCTGAAAGACGATATTTTAAACTTCCTTTTGCCCAATATCGAACCATTTTGCGTACAGTCCCAAGATAAACCAAGTGCATTATGTCCAAAGGAAAATGCGAGATCATTCCCATTCCTACATCAAGCAAGGGACTTTCCATTATCAAATGATTACTATATGCATCAGCCGTAAAATTCTGGTCAGTTCTCAACTCCGCATCGACTCCCGGAAAAATTACGCGACCATCCCATTCACCTCGCTCAACGCACTGATCGCACCCGTCGTACCCCGTGTGACCCTTGATTCCTTTTACATATGCCTTCGCTGGCGCATCACAAATGAAATTCCCAATTGATATTTTACAAAGCTTGGCGTGGATTACCACTCCCTCGGATCGCAAATCTTTAAGTTCTGGCGCAAAGTCTTTGAGAAAATCTTCAATGGGCGGTTTCGTAG